ATATATATATATATATATATATATATATATATATATATATATATATATATATATATATATATATATATATATATATATATATATATATATATATATATATCTTCAAATTGTCGTCGACATATAGTGGAAAATAATATAGTTTCTTACATGTTCATGTCTAAAATATTACAAAATTGACATTATTTGAATGACGAAATGTGTTTTCAATATGGTCCATGAAAACTGCTACTATATTGTGACATTTTATGTATATTATTTGACATTTTTCTCAACAAACAGATTAACACTGAATTTAAAAACTCCAAATGCCGTTGACTACTACTAAAACAATTAACTATAGATATGTTTTGAAACAAAATATTCGCTGAAACGCGCATATCTCAAAAAAAAACACGATTACTAACATTCTATCTAAATTGCAATACCGCGGCAGAATATGTCACCGTGAGTGTCCTTCCGGTGTTGTCAAATTTCTGAGAGCCGACGTGTCTATTTCATGTAGCGCTTACCAAGAACGTCAAAATTGCGAACTATTATACGGACGTTAGCAGGATTCCCACTCTCCCGTTCCCATCATTTGAAACCTGTGGACAGCGCGTCATTTCGATACGAGTTATTAGAAAGAAACCTGTTAAAAGACCGGGACGCAGTCTTACGGTGTAATATGCTTTATATTGCTGCTAGCTGTGCAATTATTTTTTGTCGGTGTGTGAGTTTTTTTTTTCAAATTGCAAAGTTAAGCCGTAGAGTAGGTTCTAAAACTGAGTGAGGAAAATCTTTCATTTACCTTTCGATTTGAACTCTCCGTATGATCTCTTTCGATCTGCAAGATACAAATATATATATAGATATTCTATAAACATTTCCACCAACAAAAATATTTCATTTAATTTATTTTTTTGTTGTTGTTGAAAAAATAGATCTCAACTGATGATGATGATTTTTGCCTGGTATTTTAAAATCGTATAACATTTATGTTACATGAAAACCGTTGCCTAGCAACTATTTAGTTTGCATCGACAGCTAACGTTTACTACTAGGTTGGTACAACGACTGGGCAAATGCTATTCGGGCGGTATTAGACGGAACCAAACGTGTCGTTGTTTTTTTCATGTACAATTCACATTGAATGTCTCAATTCTAATCATAGTCGTGTATATTCTACATGCTTATTATTGATCTCTGAAACTCCAAATCAAAACGATTTACTCGCTTTAAACCCAGACACCACGAGCATGCTGTGACAATTTGCTTCCCAAACTATTGTACAATTACACTCCCGCCGAGCCCAATAAAACCTGCTCGTCTTCGCGCACTATCGTGCAAGTGACCCGATCGAATAAGGGTCACTTATTTAATTTTCTAATTTCTCTTATTTGGAAATGATTCCACCCGCTGAGCAAAGTTAGTGCGATGTCTCGTCAGTATTCTTCTCGGGTAACTACGACTCGACGCCATTGTCAGCGCACCGCCGGAACCCCGGGTCGGGAGTACGAACGCAGTGGAAAACGAAAGCAAGTTGCATATAATTTCTCTGTTTTTAGAGCATTGTGTTCATTTTTTGATTCCTGATATTTACGAAATGTTGAATCTCTTTTTAACAACTTGAAGTACATCGTAACTAACACATTGAACATTCGCGTACAGTGTATCGTAAACAAGCCAACGTATTGTGTTAAACGGGTGATGAATGGACGCGGAAACGATTAAGCAATTGGGAGAGAAAACGAAATAAAATTACCATCCCGTTTTTTTTTTCATAATTCAGACCTGATTAATAGTTGTGAGGAAGACTGACTAAGACTTGAAAGGTGCAACACGTGCGTCCATTTTCTTTTTTCTGATGATTCATATGCCCTGTCATTAACATCTCAAATAATGAATAATAGAGCACTACGTCATCGGATGAAGAATTCTGATCTAGCATCTCGATAAAACAAAATAAAAAAAATAAAATAAACAAAACGGCCCGGTATTATTACACAGAACAGTATCTATCTTAGATAATGACGTCATATTATCATGACAATTATTCGTTCAAGTATATACATTTCCGTCGATTAATGTGACAATAACGACGCGTAAGTGCGAAGATGTCGTAATCAGTAGAAAAATGCATAACAATGAATCAAGTATTTGACACATATGGAACCCGCTTGAGCGACTCAATAACTTGAATACTATTCGGATGTTTTCGAGGAATTAGACTCTATTGTTTTAATAATTACTATTTTACGGCTTTATTTTTATCACTTTTAATTAATTTAAAAAGATATACTAGTAATTCGCGTTAATCATGTTTTTAGCAGGTTTTATCTTTATTATTAATGATAGCGATGATCATGATCATGTTACTATAGTAACCAATTCTTCAAACGCGACCACAATTTTGTAGGAGACATTTAGTATACTCGAATCTTAAAAAAAATAAACGCATCCCACATGTTAAGTTTAAAGTCATCGTTTCCTACAAGGCGAGGTAGAAAATTTGTTGTTATGAATTCTCGGATTAAATCAACGACCATGCCTGTTTTTTTAAGCATAACAATATCGTGTCGGCGGACCTTGGCCCGCACGATCGTTACAAAACGGGCACAACATACTCGAATTCGCGTTTACAACGATAACACATTTATTTGTATTGAAAATTAACCAAATCCCTGGAAAATTCCATATCATGCCGAGTATTGCCTAATCGACTGTCATGTACCATACTGTGGATTAGACAACAATTGCACGGCGTATTATATGTTGTAGCCAACTCCCCGATGTTAGCCGGCTGTCACTACAATTTGAAATAATGACGTCATATATTACCTATGTATATTATCTGTATATCACCACCAGTCAAGCGAAATGTGTTTACCGGGCCAAAAATAAATTTTACACTTGTGGCGTTACGCTGAAACCGTGACGGTGTATGCGCCGTTACCACCCATCCCCGTCACAGGGTTCCAGTATTCGAGATTCATTCACAAATCATCAAAACTCAGCCTCGTTATTCCGCCAATCCCATCTCCTTAGTTTGTATGGAGTAGGGACTCTAAAATATTAATACCCCATCCCTCCACAGTACACAAACCACACTCACCGAAAATATCCAGATACGGGAATTCGTTCAATGAAGGCATTATTATGACGTCACGCTGCGGAACTCCTCGTTCGTGCGATAGTTGGGGGCTTGTTGTGATGACTGTGACTCTGAACTACGAGTGGATCTGTTTATATGCGTCCGGCCAACTACATCGCTTATTCAAATAATGCTACCATGCGTGGCTCGAGCGACCTCGCAGGGCCGATTAGCTAGCGGAGTCAGATCTATACAGAGGGGAAGTCATTTCACCGAATTAGCAGCATGGCTGGTGACTCTATAGACACATGTAATGTGCACGTGTTATGCAGTATAGTTGTCAATATGCTTTAAGCGACTGCTATTATGACCAGTTTTTATTCATCACTATCGCTACAATTCCCGGTCCCTCAGCACGGCATTCACGAGTTCTGGAAGCACTTTTCTAAAGCATATGGCAGTCTACGGGTTTCATTTTTTTGGGGCTAGCTACTAACGTGACACCGCTAATTAGATCTACTGTTCGTGAGAAATGTTGTCTTTATACGGGGCGGACGCTCAACTTGGAAACCATTTTCCATGAAACAATAACATCCACACGGTAGACGTTTGCACTAAATAACGGACGCATTGGAGAAAGAGGGCGGATTGAGACAAAAAGTTTCTAAGAGATGATAGTAACTCAAATATTCGGACATTGATGTTAAAACTCATCCTAAATACCCGGATGTATCTGACTGTCCCATTTGAACCAATATATCGTGGGTTTTCTTTTTTCTTCGGACTAATTTTTATTTTTATATACGTTCAAGTTAGATACACGCATGGTTCCAGGTGACCATGCACGCATAGAGAAGGTGGCGTGCGACCCT